TGCTAAATTGTCCCGTAGTGCCCAGCGATGTGCAGGTTAGGGTGGATTGGCCATGCTAAATTGTCCCATAGTGCCCAGCGATGTGCAGGTTAGGGTGGATTGGCCATGCTAAATTGTCCTGTAGTGCCCAGGGATGTGCAGGTTAGGGTGGATTGGCCGTGGGGAAATGCGGGGTCAAATGGATAGGGTAAGGGTTGGGTTGCTCTTCTGATGGTTGGTGTGGACTCTACGGGCTGAATGGCCTGCTTCCGCACTGTAGGGACTCTATGAACTATAAACTACAGGCATTTAAAACCCCAACTAATCCTCACCGTGCCATTAATGATGTATTTTTGTAATCGCATCTTCTCTCCTGCTCCTCTCTGGCGTCCTGCACTATTGGCCTTTGCCCTTCACCCAGTCTTCTCAATAAAGTTCAGAGACTTCCTTCGCAATCTGGTGCTTGAATGCTTTCCATCGCTGCTTCATGGTGACACTGAGAGAGAACAGACCCATCACTGACATGTCTCTAGCCTGCTGGCGATTTTGAATTGCGATAAATCCAGTGCATGTCCCATCTGCATATCAAGGTGTCACTGTGAGCACTCCCAACATAAGGCAGAGAAAACAATCTCATCCCAGGCTCAGTAACTGCCCCAACATTTTCACTCAAACAAAGGCTTAGTGGCTAGTATCTTCACAGTTTGCACTACAAGGCAGCGTTATTAGAATGACAGACTATGTAATACTGATGATGTTCCCTGTCACTGATATTGCTTTTAAATTGTGATTTAGTATGGGAAGAGGAGCTGAGGATTGTCATGTGAGTGGCCTTCATGTCCTCTCAGCATATTTCATGGATCTGGGATGACAAGGGAGCAGGAAGTTAGATACAGTAATTTCAGGAGATGGAAGAGTTCCTGGATTATAACAGTGAGCAAATCAAGTTGGTGACCGTCTACTGGCATCAGAAGATTTGATTTGATTTGGTATTGTCACATATAACTAGGTATAGTGAGAAGTTTTGTTTTTTTTGCAGAGCGGGCAGATCATACGAGCAAAGATCATAGGGTGATAGAACAGAGCGAGGAGTACAATGTTATTGCTGCAATGAAGGTGCACAAAAAGCAAGATCAAAATTAGGTTTGAAATTTGAGAGGTCCATTCAGCAGTCTAATAACAGCGGGGAAGAAGCTGTTTTTGAATCTGTTGGCATGTGTGTTTAAGCTTTTATATCTCCTGCCTGACGGAAGAGGTTGGAAGAGATTATAAGCAGGGTTGGGGGGGTCTTTGATGATAACTTAGGTCCTACTCCAAAGACTGGAGCCCATTTTCTAATGCGAGAATTCCAGTGTGGGACTGAGGGGGATGTAAGAGGCGCCCAACCAAGCATTTCCAACCGCTCTCAGGACCGTGCAAAGATCAGTAATGGAGCGCCCAGTCAATATTTAATGCTCAATCATTAGCACAACCGCCAGAAACCCCAAAGTGCTTTCCCTTCGATTAAATACTTTTAATGCTTGTTGGAATGCCAGGAAACTGAGAGCCAGTATGTGCAAGAAATGCTGGCTGTACCTTTGATGCCCACATCCCAAGAATGAAATTTTAGAAAAAAAACAGAATCCTATGATTTGTGACTTTAATTACAGAAGGATAGTCACTTGTTTGACTTTTATCCTGGTCTAAGATGGGGATCATAGAATCATAGAATCCCTACAGTAGGGAAGCAGGCCATTTGGCCCATCAAGTCCAAATCGACCCTCCGAAGAGCATCCCACCCAGACTCACCACCCCCACCCTATCCCTGTAACCCTGCATTTTCCATAGCTAATCTACCTAGCCTGCACATCACTGGACACTATGGGTAATTTCCTATGGCCAACCTACCTAACGTGCACATCTTTGGACACTATGAGCAATTTAGCACGGCCAATCCACCCTAACCTACACAGCGTTGGACTAGGGGCAGGGCACATCTTGGGAATATTAGACTGTTTTTTAATCCAGCAAGGTAGAAGGTGAAAATGGAAATCTTTTCAAGGAGGGAAAAGGAATGGCAGAGATACTAGATGAGAACTTTCCCTTGGCTTTTAAATAAAGAAGTGTGAGAAATGAAAACGGCACATTGGAGGTGGAACAAAGAATGAGAGAATAATTGATAACGGAGCAGTAGTCAAGAGTGTGGGAAGGCCCAATGACGTTTATCTGCGTAGTCAGGGAAGGAATGAGCAGAGGCTCTGACCACAATCCTGAAAACAATCCTTGGATAAAAAATTAAGTCAGAGGACTGAATCATGATCAATGTAAAAGCTCTAATCAGAAATAAGTGCAGGATAAACCCAATCACTGTGCTGGACATCAGCAGTAGGTAAGAGTCTTAGACTGTATTATAAATTAGTACTCATTTCAAAAGACATGGATTACTTGAGAACACGTAGTAAGTCATCTGTCAAATGTAATAGCTACACAACAAAACATTAAACGGCACAAATAAAGGAAAGATAGTGGATGCTGTGTACAAAAGTTTTCAAATTTGCTAAACATCTGGTTCACAGCACTTGAAGGAACACAGCAGCACAGATAGTCAGGATTAAAGAATTGAAAACAGCGAGCAACTGTCAATAGATATTTATCACCAGTGACCAATACATATAGACTCTGATAGAGGATACACTGTCAAAATTTGCAGATGGCAAGAAAGTAGCAGTCGTAGTAAACTCCAACGTGATTGAACGCCTCCAGTTCTGGCTACTTGAGCATTGCCGATTTTCATTGCTTCACAATTGGCAAATGTGTCTTTAGTTGCTTGGAACTTATGTTCTGCAATTTCCTCTCAAGTCTTGTTACCCTTCTGTCTCCATGCCAGCACACCTTAAAAGCTATCTGCTGGATCAAGTTATTCTAATATCGCCTTCTATGGCTTGGTTTCAAACTTTGCTCCATAGTTGCTCCTGTACGAAAGCTTGGAATGTTTTCCTGTATCGCTGTGGAGTAAATAGACAGGAACATAGATAGGACGTCCAGCTGTCCAATGACATTTAATTTAGGGAAATGTGGAGCAAGACATTATAAGAGGAAGAATACAGAGAACAGTAGACACTAAATTATAAAAGACATACTATTGAAGCTTTTCATCTTGTCCTCATCAGGACAGGTGCAAGAAAACCAAATTTCAAAAAAGGAGCCAAAATTTATGCTGGATAAGAACAGGATGCTGATTGGTCAATCAATTGAGTTGCCAACCAAGGAGTTGCCATGGGGAAATATATCAGTGAATTATTGTTCCCATGCTTTGAATCATAGAATGCCTACAGTGTGGAAACAGGCCCTTTGGCCCAGCCAGTCCACACTGACCTTTGCAGCATCCCACCCAGACACATCCCCCTAATCTACACATCCCTGAACATGACAGGCAATTTAGCATGGCCAATCCACCCCAACCTGCACATTTTTGGACTTTGGGAGGAAACTGGAGCACCCGGAGGAAACCCACGCAGACACAGGGAGAATGTGTAAACTCCACACAGACAGTCACCTGAGGGTGGGATTGAACCCAGGTCCCTGGTGCTGTGAGGCAGCAATGCTAACCACTGAGCCACCGTGCTGCCCCATGGTGTTGTTGCTTAATTCAAAAACAATATAATGCTTGTACTTGTTTCTTTCTCCTGTTTGCAAGGTACTTTCATATGAATATATGACGCATAAGTCAGTTACATTTGCAAATCAAACTAATAATCTGAACTCAATTTTTAGTGCTATTCCTGGCACACTTGGGATTGTTAAACAAAAGCAGTCCAATTGCTGAATTACAGCAAACATTTAATGATTATTTTCTGAATTTTACCAGGAGTCGAGTTGAGTGCAGTCAGTACTCTGCCTGTTGCGAATAGTCGAAGGTACATGTCATTTGATATATCCTGCCAGTCACTGGGATGTATGGCCTTCAGTCTTGAAACTGCACCAGCCTTGAAATTTAAATACCACATTTCATCTCATCCCACCTACTGTTTGCAATAGACAGAGTACTGACCAAACAAAACGAGCCCATGCTTGTAAAACTCAGAACATATTGTCTGACAGTAGATGTCATTCTGCAATTGAAAGACATGAGGGCGAGGAGGAGGAAGCAAATGAGATTTACAAAGACAGCACCAGGGTTTGGATGCTTTAATAGGAGGAGAGACTGGAGAAGATGAGGCTCCATTTATTAGAAAGGGAAAGTTCATAAATTTAATGAATGCACTCAAAATTAGGAAAGTTTAATACCACTGGTGATGACAAGAGCAGTCAAGAGGTTATTAAATCATGAAATGCTGACCAGAGACACTGGTAGTGTCAGGATCCACAATTGCTTTTAAGAAAATCTATTTGGATAAGAAAATATTGCATATAGAGTATGTGGAAAGGATAGTGCAGAAACTTTAGTGGAGTGTAGGGATGTTTGGCTGAAAGTGCTGTTTCAGCATTGCCTAAAGATATTGGGATTAATTTCCGCCAAGGGACCTTTTAATTGGTACCAGTGTTCTTGAGAGAGCATCCACTGAGCAGCTATTTAGCCTTCAAATTCTTCGTACTGGAATGGTGCTGTTTAACTCCCTGGGCAGTGTTCAAGCATTGGGATGTTGGGGCTTGACGCCATTGACTTCAGTTTCTGACCCATCGAGCCTGGCAGCAGGGTGGGAAGGACTAAAACCCTACGTATTGGAACGTCTGTAAGAGTCAATGCCTGCAGAAGCACTAAGTTGTATTGTGAACACTGACCGACCTAGTCTGGGATCCTCAGGTGAGTCACTCCCTTTCTGTGGCTTTCTGCCTTGTAAAAACTCTCTGTCTAACAAAACTCAGAGACATCGCAACAGAAGGGCCACAAATGTCTCCAATCGTGGAAAGAACTATCAGTACCACTATGTGCCCCATCGTCACCCCTCCCCCACAGCCCCCAAGGAATAAGGCCAGTCTCATTCATGAGTTTTTAACCTTCAAAGGTTTTAACCTTCATGTAACCTTCAAAGTCTCTTGAGGATCTGCTCAATTTGTGATATTGATTGGGAAGTTCACAGTCACTTGTTGCTGTATCAAAGGAGAAAGGCAAGGAGTGCTCCCACTGCCCTTGCTTTCATTTCACAGGATTCGCTGGATTCAAAAGCACAAACTGTGCCAAAAAGGCCCGATCACTCTGGAGATACTCACCTGTGTGACCACCAGTGTGAAAAGTTGTTTTTTAAAAAAAGTATTTACTCCAACCTGTCTCCATCCAGGGTTCAACCCCTCACTACATACCATCAATTTGCTCCCCGATCCGAACTTTTTTCCTTTTTTGGGTGATGCCTCATTTTAATCTGAAGTACAGGGCAGCACAGTGGCTCAGTGGTTAGCACTACTGCCTCACAGCACCAGGGACCTGGGTTCAATCCC